CCCCAAAACCCCAAAACCCCAAAACCCCAAGAGCTTAAATTGAATTTAATAGTCGAAATAATACTAAAAATCAATTAAGATATATATTATATGTATTTTTATTTAACTAACCAAACTCATATATAAGCCATTTATCACATATATGATAAAAAGTTGTGTTTATACTTTATAAATTTTCTTATAGTTTGGTAATTCATTAAAGGCACTTCATCTTATTAAAATTGGAGTGAGTATCAAATAGCTTAGGAAAATCAAAAGATTGATGTTGTTAAAGTAGCTAATCGTCCACTACAACATTACAACAATCTTGTGCCTAATTTTCCTCTTTAAACTCCAAATTTATACCCTTTTCAAATTCTTCATAAGTGGCGTCAATAGAATTAAAACCTTCATTATTTAATGCATTTGCAATCTCTTTCTGCTCTTTTTTACTAGAATCGCACTCATCTTCATCGCTTCTGCTTTCACTTTGCCTGATTTCATTATCATCATGATGAAGAACATTCGATTGAAGGTTTTTGTTTTGGTGATTGATCCCAGAGCTATATAAAATATTGGAGTTGATCTTATCGAATGAAAAAAGTTATTGCGTCTATTTCATCTCTTCATTTTCCACTGGATGAACAATGTGTATGGACTGTTAAACGTTTGCTGAGTCTGGATCTTACCCATTAATATGAACATGAACATTGTGATTAATAGTCATTTAAACTATCTTACCAGATCCGTTATTGTTAACCTACTCTTCTTGCTATTCTCTTTTCTGGCTTTGTATATTGAGTGTTAAATTGATTCCTATCTTGCCATCTTTATTCTCGATCTTCTAATTATTGGCTATTGCATTATTTGCTCCAGATAAAATATTGCTTCGATGGTGTTTGCTTCTTTTTTTTCTCTCTCTATTTTATTTCTAAACTTATTGTTGTTGTTATTATTATTATATTGTTATTGGCTATTGCTCGTTTGCACTTCTATCAACATCTTGCTGATTCTATGGCTACTATTCTTGGTAGAGGTTTTAATTTTGTTGTGTATTTTAATAGTGCTTATTTATAGTCATGTTGAAAGATTCTACTTGAGACTCATCATTGTAGTAATTATTTGTCATTTACTTTAAAGATTCCTCATTCTTAACTTTCTTTTCCTCCTCATCCTCATATTTTTCTAAGATCGTTTGCAAGCCTATTCCTCCTTAGTCCTAGTTCTAATTTCTTACTTAGCCAATATGAACTTAATCATTTCCTGTTAGCTATGATTGATTTGATTTATTGAAATTTTGCATCTGAATATTGCCAGATTTTGCAAAATTCTACATCATATTATCAATATCAACTTTCATCTGTAAGTCCTAGTTACTCATATTCTTTTACTTCTAATTTAAGCTCACATGCTTACCTTCATTATTATTGGAAATCATATCTCTTAGCATATTTTCTGGATTTTGCTGAATTGAGGCTGTTCAACGTTTATTCTTGTTGTCAGACTTTTATTCTTCTATCTTGGTTTTTTTCAAGGTTATCCAGTCAAATACATTATCGATTTTGAACTTAGACTTATATGCAACTGAACGGAGTAGACTATCAATGTAACCATAATCAATTATTTGTTCACTAGGCTGATTTCTAAGATGTTCCATAATTTAGCAAAATTCAGTTGGTTGACCTGCAAATAGGTCGTAAGGTTAAATTTTAAGTTTCATTTTTAGCATTTTATCTAACCCAGCATCAGTGGCTTTACAGTTTTTCCAAGGCAATGTTCCTGATAAAAGGTAGCAAAGTACATACATCATTGACTCAATATCGTCTTTTTTGAAATAATTTTAGCCTGGAAGATGAGCATTGATTCCAGCATATATTGCAGTCCCTACAACCTTATTTCCATTTTCATTAGGCTAAATATTGCTGATCTAATTTTGCTTTTTTGCTAATCCGAAATCTATCAGATATATTATGAATTATTCAAGTTTTGACTTTCCAGTAAGGATATTAGCGGGTTTCAAATCACGATGAACGTAGTTGAGCTTATGAATTGACTCTAATCGTTGGAGTAACTGAATACCTATCATTGTGACAGTTTTGATGCTAAATTTTAGATCTTCAGTATTATCTCTCAATTCCTTCAAACTTTGGCCCAATTAATCCATAACAATGAAATAGTTATATTTGTCAGCATTATAGTATAAAAGCTTAGGGAATCCAGGCTGATTTGACTTCTGCATGTCTTTCATTAACTGGATCTCTCTGACATACTTACTTTTGTTTTTTGATATTTTGTCCATCTAAAATAAGATAAGTTTCCTAATGGTTTTACAATGGTTATAATAGTAGATGGTTGTGATAATATATTTACTATTCGTATTTAAACTTACTATTTTTACAGCTATAAGTTGCTTAGTAATTTTATCTTTTCCAGAGTAAATTCTACCATGAGCCCCCCTTCCAATTTCTTCTCTAAGCTCATAACGACTATTCAAGTACTTTGGAATCTTTTTCTCGGCATCAATGTAATCAACAATTTAGCCTGAGGCAGATTGATCATCCATAATAATTCAACTTAAATTAGATTTATTATTGAAATTGCATGCTTGTGTTAATATATTTATGATTTTTACCTGTTTACAGTAACTAACTTTTTCAATAGTCATTTTGGGGTTTTGGGGTTTTGGGGTTTTGGGG